CATGACTGGTTCAATCTTTCTAGAAGGCAACTGCTAATAAAACAGGCAAACCCATAAAGCACTTATATGCAGGGTATATTTTAAATGACTCATACACATGTATGGGTGCCTGTACGTGTAGATACATCTGTATCTTTGTGTCTGCATGCATTTTAGTATGTTATATATGTATATTAACATATATATTACATATATATGTTAAGAAAGATATATTACATATATATGTTAAGAAATAAAAATTCTGATTTATTTTGATGAAAAATATATATGTGCTACTTATATAGAACTTGTATCTATAATATATACATACTCAAACATATATATATGATGTATATGAGACTTACTCTACAGAGGAAGGACATAGAACTATGGAGCAAAATTGCCTTGTAGCTAAAAGCACATACAGGCTTTGGAGTTAGGCAGCAGAGGGTTCAAATCCTGTTTCTGCCCCTTATCACAAATGTGACCCTGGTCCAGTTACTTCACCACTTAGACCTTAGTTTTTTCATCTGTAAAATGGGGGTGGTAACATCTGCCCCACAAAGGGCATAAAGCCTCTTGGCTAGTCCTTGGCCCAGTCCTCAAAAGGCAATCACCAGGCAGAGCCACTGCAGACAGCTTACTTTCTTCTTGATACTTTCTAGACTATTCCACATGTTCCTTAATGAGCAGGCCCCACCTCTGTCATCAGAGGAAAGACAAGCGGAGGCTGGGACTTGAGAACCCTGCAGGCTTTCTCCACCTCGGCCCCAACCAGCTCTGCTGGCAGCTCCCTGGCTCACCAAGTCTGCTCCTTCCTGCCCGCCTCTCCCCCTGCCCAGCCCCCCAGTGCCGGAGGACCCCTAATCATCCTGGGTAACTCACTGCACTGAGCAGGCCACACCAGGAACACCGCCTGCCAGGAAGAGTGGGGCTAGGCTCCTTCTCCTCTGGCATGGGCAACCCTGGCCTTCCTGCACAGCTGGAGCCCGACTGCCTCCAGGCCAGGGCCCCTCACCTGCCCCCAGCCCTGCATCCCACCTTCGTGCACCATGGTGCACATCAGCGTCCCCTGCACAGCCACTCTGGGCCTCCCTGCTGGCTGCCAGCCAGGCCCTGCTTCTCAGGCTGCCTGGCCGCCTCTGCAGACCTCATCTGATCATGTCACCTCTGCTAGAAACCTTTGCGTGTCTTCCTGTTGCTGCTTGGATGAAGCCCAAAAGCCTTACCACCACCTCCCAGGCCTGCCGCCCAACCTGGCCTCCTCCTGCCCCTGTGCCTTGTCACCTGGTGCATTTCAGACCTCAGTCTGACCCATTTGCCCTCCAGGAAGGTGTGCCTCAGCTCCTAGACCAGCCCAGTCTGCACTGTGGCAGGCATCCCAGGCCTCTCACATGGAGCCACGATCATGACATGATTCTGCATTTATCAGTGTGATTTGCTTGTTTCCATGAGGGCAGGGACTGTCCTTGCTGGGGCCCCAGTACAGGGCCAACGCCTTGCCCATACTGACAGCTGACCCTTCCACGGGCCAGCACTGCTCTAAGTAACCCGGTTACTCCTCGTGACAACTCAAGGGGGCACCAACTCTTCCCTCCGTTTTCTAGATAAGGAAACAGAGGCACGGAAAGCTGAAATAATGTACCCAGAGTCAGGGAACTGGTACGTGACAGAGCTGGGGTTTGAACTTCAATCATCTGGCTCCAGGGTCTGTGCTCTTAACCTCTGCCCTTTCCTGCAACAATACATGCGGGTCGGTTGGCAATATGAATCAATCCAATGACTCAACCCTGGGCCTCCGAGGTCAGCCAGTGCTGTCGTCCTAGGGGGATGGCTCAAAGTCCTGGATCCTGACCCCACGTGGGAGCTGACCTGCCCTCTCCTTGATGGATCTGAACATGGGGTGTACTGGTCTATGGCACATGGGTAAGGCCTTGGGGTCTGGGGGAGGTGGGTCACACTGTAATGGCCCTGACAAGGGTCTTCCAACAAGGATCCCAAAGCAGTTCTGCCAGTGCTGGTCACGGCCAGTAACGCCGGGCAAGTCACCTCGGTGTTTTTGTGACTCAAGTCCTTCATTTGATCCTCCTCCCCTTCTAGATCCTCCTAACCCCACTGGTCTCTCCCACCACTCAGTCTTTATCCCACAAGGCCATAAGCTCCCGAGGGCTCCATAACCTCACTGAAGCAATGAGCTCATGGTGACCCATCCAGACAGAGTGCGGCCTCCCTGCCACCTGGGCACACCCTCCTGTCTGACTGATTTCTCCATCAACAGCACACAGTAGGTGTTCAATAAACATTTGCCAACTGAAAGAGATGACCAGATTTGTTGGGGGGGGACACGATGGCTCTAGGAGGCGACATCGTGTGCAAGAGGGGGAGCCAGCATGGGGCCTGGGGAAGGCCAGCCCTCCAATCCCACCAGGTCACCTCCCAGGCCCAATGGGGATCTGGGACACAGGGAGGACCTTCTCCCCAGAATCATACCCTGGGTGCAGATATACGCCATTCTCTGCCAAGCTCAGCTCAGTCAGGAATTCCACTCTGGGAGAGCCTCTGCTTTAACCTCGTCCTGGCCACACCTCAGATCAAGGGCGGCCCAAGGGCAACCCTGAGCCCAGCCAACTGGGGTCTCCCAGCCAACTGGGGTCTCCTGCCCAACTGGCCTGTCCTGGGGCCACCTGTGCTCACCCCCGGGCTGTAAGCCAGGTGTCTGGCAAAGGGCATGGCTTTTCCCCTTGGCGTTTTATGCAAGCACTACTGGCAGAAGCAGCCTCCCACTGCAGTGTATTTTCTGGAACCCACATCATTCTCTGTTATACGCAGAAGCAGGCGGGAGTCCCGTCCAGCAGACCCCACAGCCACATGCCCCAGCTCTATGTGGCCGCAGGAAGAGGGGTCACCTGCCAGATACAAGCCTCCCTCAGCACCCAGAGCTACTTCTCCAAATGGAGGGAGAAACGGCTGGGGGCCCCCCGTCCTGCCTCAGCACATCTGCTGGTGGGATGGGAGTGGGCTACGGGCCAGACTGGGGCTGCCGCGGGCCTGGGGCTGGGGCCCTGCTGTGCGGGGCCGGCAGGGACCGGAGGAGGGACCTGTGGAGCATCTGCTGCTACAGAAGCAAGGAATCAATCTGGAAGCTGGACAGAGTGCAGAAGCAAGGGCGGGAGCAGGACGGAGCAGGAAGCTCCAGACAGGACAGTCCGGGAGCAGACCCAGAAAGGCGTGTTCCTGAGCAAACCTGGCAGCTCAGAACAGCTGGGTCCTCAGCCCTTGAAGGACCCCACAGCCTCGGAGGCCTGAGGCCTGTGCAGAGCAGAGGAGGAGCAAGGGGGCTCCTTCTTTCCGCCTAGCCCACAAGGGGCAGGTCCTACCTTCATTTCCTAGATGGCGCCTTAATGTGCCCGAGCCTCCGTTTCCCTATCTGTACACGGGTATGGGATCTCCTCCCATGTCTTTGGGTCTTTGTGGGGATCAAATGAAGACAAGCGACATCAAGTACATGCATTGGGCACAGTGCCCATAGTAAGGCCCTGCATACAGGCGATAGTTTTTGTCTGTGTTTGCCCAGGAAGACAGCTATGCTATCAAACTCTGCACCATTCGCCTCATTAAAACCACAGCACTTCCGGGCACTTGCTGGCCACGGGGCACCCAAGGTCTCTGAGCTTGCTCTGCAAGGAAGGACCCCAGCCCAGCCTTCGCCATGTGTCCCAAACTCCCAGAGAAGCTGGTGAGCTCCAGAGCTGGCCTTTGGAGGTGGCATGACCTGGGGACCAGTTGTTTAACGGCTTTCCCTGAACCACTCCATCTGCCCAACAGCCTTAGCAAAGAATGACCTCGGGGCTGGCCACCGGGGTTACCCCACGGAGGACAGGCTGGGCCAGGCAGTGTCCTAGCCAGGCACCCCTCTGCCTTCCCTCCGGGCCTGCTTCACACCCCTTCAGCACAGCCCCCATGCTCTTGGCTCCCCTGACCTCGCAACTTCTTTGCCCTCCTCCAGTCTCCAGCCGTTCCTGGAGACTTCTCCCCATGACCTAAATGTTGTGGCTGGGCACACTTTTTGGCGCTCTGGCTGCTCATACCAAGTGCGGCCCTGGACAGCCCTGTTTGCTGCCGGAGCACCAGGAACAGAGTGGGGTGCTCCAGGGCTGGGGATCCCAGCAGGTGTCAGGGTGCCACTCACTCTGGTCTCTGTGGTCTCATGGTAAAGTTAACTGAAACATTCTGGGAGGGCTCCCTGGGGCAGGTGGCATCTGTGCGGTCGCCTCCACCCCTCAGGGCTCATCTCCAGCTCAGTGCTCTGCAGAGAGCTCCAGAATGTCTGTGTCCATGTATCATCTCCACCTGGCAGGGCTCCCAGTTCCCAAATGAACACGGCCCTCACCTTCCTTCTCCAGGGTAGCCTGGTCGGGTCACTGAGGCTAACGCCAGGGTGTCACTGGTCTCTTATAGCTCACCCACGGCTTCGTTCTCTCTAACCCCCCTCCACACCGTGAATGCATCCGCTTCCCCTCCTCCCACACCCCTAAGCTGGCTGGGCTAGCCTCATCCCTTCCCTGTCCCCTCCCCCACCCCAGGGTCTCCCTGTCTCTGCTCTGGTCCCCAACTCCTGTCCACATCCGCACGACATCCAGCCATCATTCCAAAACATGACGATGTTCCTCCCCAGCTCCAAAGATGACACGCCTCCCAGGATAAGTCTGAAGACCCAGTAAAATTTCCGCCTCTAGTCCGACATTCAAGGCCTTCCCTTTTGGGCAGCAAATGACCCTTCTTCCTGTTCTCTTTTGAGGGCTCTAGGCTCCAACTGCCCTTCTCTCCTTAATCCCTCCCCCAACCAGAAGCTGCTCTTCAAGTCCTCACCGTGCCACCGCCTGCCACATGGGAGGCACTCAGGGTGTGCCCGTGGCACAGAGCCCCTCCCAACAGGGGCCCCTAGGAAGCACCTCCAACGTAGCCCCAACCCCAGCACCCCCTCCATGGCCCTATCCCCAGATTCCACAGCAAATACTCACTTTGGCTCCAGGAGGGCCGGGGAGGCCTGGGTTTCCGTAAGGCCCAGGAGGACCCTGAAAGGGAAAAGAAACAAAGAGGTGAGGGGGAAATGGGGGCCACTCCACTTCCCACAGCAATGCCTGGCAGGAGCCTTCCACCCACTGGGTCTTCTCAGCTAGCCAGAAGCTTCTCAGCTTCTTAGCAGGACTGTCATGGCGGCCTACTTTTAGGGAGGGCCCCCTTGATGCCCGGCCCCACCGTGAACACCTGCCATCCATTACCTCATTTTACTCTACTAACCCAAGAGGCAGGGGCTATCATTATTCCTACTTTGAAGACGGAGCCAGGGCTCAGAGAGGTTGAGAACTTCCTCAGGTCACTCAGCTGCTCGGAGGGCCGAGCTAGAGGTCAGCCTCAGATGTGTGATTTCAGAGCACAAGGCCTCAACCTCTGAATTTTTCTTGACTGCCTCCTGGCTCTCTCCCCCTGGCCCAGCAGCCCTTCCCAGGCTGGCTTCCCGGGCTCAAAGCGGACTTAGCTACCTGCTTCCCTCCACCGCTGCTGGTCAGTGCCCTGTGCCATTCCCATCATCTGGCGTTTCCTTCTGATCCATCCCCTCCAACTGCCACCAGCCCTGTCCTCCGAGGCCTGGCTGACATGCCACCTCCTCCCGGGCATCTTCTAGGACTTCGGCCTAGCGGCACTGCTCCCTTTTGACTCCAACGGGACTGTGATGTGAGCCTTTGGAGTCGAGAGCCCAGTGAAGGGAGGACTTGGCGTCTTCTGAACAAAGGAGCCTCCCTCCTGTGGCCACAGCCCAGCCAGAGAGCTCTCCCTTAGGATCCTCTGAGCTCTGAGCTGACAGGTCCTCCAGGGGCCTTGAAGCAGCTAAAAGACTGGGCCCAGAGTGTCAAAGAGTCTTGGCCAAGTCACACAGCAGAGAGGTGGCCAAGTGAGGGCTGGGACCCAGGCCTGCTGGCTGAGGGTCCAGGCTTTATTCATGGCACCAGATTTTCCCAGGTCCTCTCTGAATCCTGTGGAACAGCTGGAGCCTGTTATGTCCACTTTCTCCAGCAAGGGCCCTGGGTTAGGGTCTTGCAGCCAGTAATAGAAACAGAGCCTGAAGAGTCGGGTCACTCCCCAGAGTCTTTGTCCAGCAGGAATAATCTGGAGCATTGGGGGTGGGGAGAGACGGCTCAAGAAGCCCAGAGGTGCCCCACCACGCCAGCTTCTAGACACACTGCCCTTGTCGCTGGCCCCTCTTGACTCATCTGGCTGGCTGTGTATGAACTTGCTTCCTTCCTCCCTCTCCGAGGCCAACTTTCCAGCTGCAGCCTGTCACATTCCATCCAAGACACCTCCCTCTTCCTCGATGCCTGCACAGGGACCCTCCCCTTCTCTAAACACGTTGAAAAGGAACAGTGTTCCGAAGCTCACTCGGCCTGGGGAATGGAGAACGGTGTCATGGGTGACCCTCCTTCTAAAGTAACCCGCTCTCCAGCCCTCTCCAGCATTCCACCCAACACGGTCTTCCAGCACAAGGACGGGACTTGGAACCAGCTGTGAGCAACCCCCTTCCCCAGCCTCGCTCTCCCCAACAGTCCTCTGAGTAGCTAGGACCCCCGCTGGTCTTTAAGGAATCTGGAAGACCTGAGATGCTCACCCCAGCCCAGGCTCTTGGGGTCTAACCTCAGAGCTCAGATGGAACTGGGCCTAAGATGGGGAGGTGTGTTTGAGAAGGGGCCCCTGACCAACACTCCAGAAGCAGGCATGGGCTGTGGGAGGCCAGAGGTGGCTACCTTCTTCCCAGTTGTGCCCCCGGTTGCCCCAAAGATGGAAGGCTGGAGTGCTCAGCTACCCACCCAGCCTGTAGCCTGTGGAAGCAGGAGCTTCCTGCTTCCTCGACGCCCCCCCCTCCAACCGCCGCCCCCCTCCCGCCACTGCCTTGCAAAGAAACGGAGCACATAGTTGACCGGGAGCCAAGCAGACCAATACTATAAATGCTGCGGCCCAGAAAGCCGGGTATGGGGAGGGCCCAGGGATTCCCCAACATCCTTGCACAGGCTGGGGAATTACGTGGAGGTGGGAAGGGGGATGCCACTGAGCTTTGGACAACCTCCAGTAGGGCCCTGCCACTCCCTGAGCCCCAGAGCTGTCATCGTGCAGAGAGGAGCTGGGATGGTCTACTTTTCGCATTCTACTATCTCTGGAATTTTATGATCTATGGAATGTCCAGCCTAGAAACAGGATGATGGCGGGGAGGTGGCGCGGGGGAGGGGGTGCGTGGTGGGGAGGGAGAGTACACAGAAAGCCTGAGAGGGAGGATGGGAGAGTCATTCCCTCACTCATGGAATTTCACAGCTGGGAGGAACCTTGGAAATACGGTTCCAAGGAAATGCCTTGGCAGTTCCTGAGCAGACTCCATGCTTTATAGATGGGAAACTGAGGCCCAGAGAATGGAAAGGATTTGCCTAAGATCACACAGCTTCTGGGGGGAAATGTTGTTGACTCCCAGACTAGAACTCCTCAGTAACCATTTGCCCAGCACCTGTTGAGTGCAGGGCACCGTGCTAGGCAGCGTGTGAGAAAGAGAAAGAAACAGGGCCTGGCTCTGGCCCAGAGGGGCTCGTTTGGGTAGAGAGATAAATCAGCACGATAGATGGTTAAGATCACAGGTTCTGGGATCAGACCGTCTGGGTTCCATCCTAGCTCTGGCATTGACACTCTGGTTGACTTTCTCCAAAGTAACCAAACCTTTCTGAGCCTCAGTTTCCTCGTCTAGAAGCATGGGGACGACATCGGAACCCATTTCTCGGGAAGGCTGGGCTGGTGGGATGAGATCACGCAATTGCAGCTCCGCCAACAGAGGTCAGCGGTCTGCGTGAGCTTTAGGAAAGTCATCCGTGCCATCCAGAGCAGCGAAAACCTGCTGCAGGAACTCGGAGAAGGGGGCAGTCGTCAGCAAACGAGATGGCATTTGATCTCAGCAGGGGATGGAAAAGGAGCTTGCAAAGAAGGGCACGCCATGTCAGGGCAAGAGGCCGACCTAGCAAAGGTGCAGAGGAGGCGTTTGGAAGGGCAAACTGCCTGCTAAGTCAAAGGGCCTCATCCTGCACCCAGGCTGCAGGAACCCTGGTATTTCTGGGGTCCCCAGCTCTGGGTAAGTGCTCCACGGAGACTCTGGAGCCAGGAGGAAATGCTGCCTCAGACAGCAGATTCCAGAGCCCTGGGCCCAGAGAGCACAGGGCCAGGTCTGGAGTAATTGCATAACCAGAACCATCCGCTGGGCTCCGAGCTAAAAATATGCCCCAGGCAGCTGTCTCTGCCAGAGCCTTGCCAGGCACCCAGCGTGGGAAAGGCTGATTCAGCCTGGGTGCAGGTGCCAGGCATCATGGGTCTGAGCCCTCTTGGGAAAAGGACAGATTTTTCTCCAAGATGACCCCCAGGGGTGCCAGCATATGGTTCAGGGACTAGGTTCCCATCCTGGCTCTTCCATTTCCTATATGTTCGGCTTTCTCATCCCCAACATGCGAATGATTATCCTGGTCCACAGGGGTTCTGGGGCAGGGGAGAGGGGCTCAAACAGAACCACGTTCCCTGCATGCAAGGCATAACATGGGAGTTCTTTTCCACACCAAGGCTCAGGCTAGCTCCTCTCTGATGCTGCAGTCCTGCGAAGCCATCCTTCCACCTCTGATCAAACCTCTCGGCATGGGGAGCTCCCCCCCTACCTTGCCCATGTCGGCATCCCCACCCCAGGATGGCCCTGTGAAGATGGGAGGAGGGACACAAGGGTCGTGTCCTCCCAAGGCAGCTTTTCTCCTGGACAAACGTTGAAACCCATCAGCTCAGGAGAATGTGGTCGGCAGAAACCCCTTCTCCACTCCAGGCTGCCAAGGGTGATACCCACCACGAACACCTGAGACCCTGTAAGAGGTCACTGCTGTCCCCATGGCATGCCTGTCCACACAGCACCCCCAAAGAGCCCTGAGTTCGCTCCAATGGACAAAGTGAAAAATGGGTGCTGGGGGGAGGCAGGAAACAGCCTGGGGACACACAGCAAGTCTAAAACTTCGGGGACCCTGGGACACAGGCCAAAGAGCCAGCCGGAGACCCAAAGGACAGCGTGTGATCACTTACCCGAGGCCCCCGTGCACCAGGGGGTCCAGGGAGCCCAGGCAGCCCAGGGGGACCCTGAAAGAAAAAGCAAGAAGACAGCGTCAGTGCCGCGGGGCAGCAGGGAATGGGTTCAAGCAGCCGTTGCACAAGCATCTCCAGAGGTCTGGGAATGGACACTCCACAACCAAGAAGAGGGGTTCTCTGAGGCCTTAGGAACTCATGCTCTTTGGGCCTTTCAGGCCTTTGCAGCTGCTGTTTCACAGTCTTTGAAGTTTTCGCCTTTTATCACTCAGCAAACTTACCCAGGTTGCCACCTCCTCCAGGAAGGCTTCCCTGATCCCTTCCCCAGCTTGAGTCAAGTCCCCGCTTTCCATTTTTTATTTATATGTTATTTGGGGAATTGTCTGCCCCGAAGCCTGTCTCTCCCACTAGACCATGGTCTTCTCAAAGGATCTAATTCTCTCTCCCCAGGGCTCAGTTAAATGTCTGATAAGATAAAACACAAGAGGGGTGCCTGGGTGACTAAGTGGGTTAAAACCTCTGCCTTCGGCTCAGGTCATGATCTCAGGGTCCTGGGATCAAGCCCCGCGTTGGGCTCTCTGCTCAAAGGGGAGCCTTCTTCCTCCTCTCTCTGCCTGCCTCTCTGCCTTCTTGTAATCTCTGTCAAACAAATAAATAAAAAATCTTAAAAGAAAAAAAAAACAAGAGACCTCAGAACTCAGCCAAGTTCTCCGCAGAGCCAGACAGGGAAGGGATTTGCCCATGGTGTATCTGCGCACATGGAGAGACCGTGCAGCATACCGGGTACAGACAAAGGCTTTTGCGTCAGACAGGCCTGGGTTCAAACCCCATGCTGCCACTTACCAGCTGGGTTTGGGCAATTTCTTCAGCCAGCCTGTGCCTATAAAACGGGGGCAAGAATACCCTCTTCACAGGACGATCACAAGGATGAAATGAGAGATAGTGAACATTTAACACAATCACTGGGGTCTAAACATCACTCAAACGTTCCATCTGTTCCAGGAGTCACAGCCTGATCCAACTTTCATCACTGTTCCCAGAGAGCCCACAATAGCCCCCTCATTGGTGTCCCCATGTCCACCTCCTCTCCCCTCCTGTCCTCCTCGCCACAGCCCTGTTCATCTTCCCAAAGTACTCTCCTGCTCAACGACATTCAATGGCTCCCTATTTCCCACAAGAGAAAGGCCTAACCCTGCAGCATGGAAGGGAGGCAGCCAAGCAGACTTACTGAATGGAGGGCTGACCTTCCTTCAAATTCCAGTTTTGCCACTTAATCGCTGGAGACTTTTTGCAAGCCCTTCAGCCTGAGTATCCACTGCTCCCCGTCCGCATGGGGTCAGTGGCCACTGCCCCGTCTACCCTGAAGGCATCAATGAGGATTAACTAAGTGCCTGATGTGAGGAACTGAACACGGAGCCTTCGAAGGAAGCCTGGCTTTCGAGGATGTGTGAGGCCTGGGGAATTCATTTGTTTCAAATAACCATCAACGAGATTCCAGGTTTCCTGCCCGGAGTTAAAATCAGTGTTGAAAACCCAGTACGGTTTGGCTGGTAATTAATCCAGATCTCATGCTGGGCAGCCTCGGTTAACAGTTCTGGCCTATGAACACCACGTGCCTGCTCGGCCATGAATAAAAATCAGAAGAGAGATCCAGACAGGCAGATATGGGCACCAAGGCCCCAGGGGCACTGGAAAGGACCTGGAGTTGGGGGGCGGGGTGGATGCGCGGCCTCGGGCAAGTCCCAGACACCTCTGGGCCTCCAGGGACCTTTGGCCAAATTGGCAGCTGTCTTCCTTCAATCCAGAGCCCGGGGGCTGGGTGGATGTTTCTCCTCCTCTATCTTGTTCAGCAGGTTTCCCTGCTGGGATTCAGGCCAGGCTCCTCTCCGCTCCTCCCCAGGGAGCGGCAGAGCCCCAGGAACCTGGGTTCACACTGGGCGCCCCCGCATGGGCTCGGGCACGCTACTTCTGTCGAGCCTTCATTCTCCAAGTGTGAAATGAGAATATGAAGGCCCCTAGCTGACAGATAATCTATAAGAAGTGCTAATCCTGGGGCCTGGCACACAGTTAATGCCCAAAAAGTTAGCTGTTGTTTCTGTGAAGCAAGCTTCTGGAAGTTCCCCAACTCAGAATTTTAAACCACCCTCCTTGGCATCTGTTTTGCAGGAAGAGCAAAGATTTCCCTTTCCAGAAGGCCCTCGTTGGCCCTGATCTTCCAGGTGACCCAGAATTAAAGGGAAATGCAGGGGCTCAGGCCAAGCTGTATCGTTACCCAGTATTGTTATCCAGCCCTTTTAGGAGATGAGACCCCAAAGAGCGCCTCAGAGCAGCAAAGCGACTTGCCCAAGTCCACACAGCGAACAGGCAGAACCTGGGTTCAGTCTAGGACACTTGATTTGTTCTCCTCTCTTGGGCAGCTTCCATGCAGAGAATCTTGGCTAGGTATGTCCTGATTCGGTGTGCAGCCTTGGTTAAGGCCCTTCCCCTCTGCAGGCATCTAGGGAATGAGCACCCCAGAACCTTCCCAACCCGGGGCCCTTCCTGCGTTGCAGGGTGGCAACGACTTCCTTCTCCAGTTATCTGGCGGGAGAGTTGAGGAGGACACCATGCGCAACTCACAGAGAGGAAGGCCAAGGCCCAGCGAGGCGGGGCTCATGCAGGGCTCCAGGGAGAGACAGTCTTCAGAAGGTAGAGCTCCCTCAGGGACCCTGGTGGGTCAGCGCTATGGAGGCCTGGACATTCCCTCTTGGCATTTCTTCTGCCCCAGAAACAGGGGCATCCAGGCTGGGAATCTGACTTCACCCACAACATCTGCAGAGCAGACTCTGAGTGCCAGCTGGGACCCATGGCCCAGCCTGGTGATGTCAGTCCGCAGCCCGGCTCCGTGTCATGGTCGCCCAGCCCTCAGCTGCAGGCCTGGCCAGGCTCTCCTCTACCAACCCCGGGTGGGGCTACCCAGCAACCCAGCTGCAGCCGCAGGCCCAGCCCTTCCCCATTCAGGACTTACTTTGTCTGTGGGCAAGTGAGGGTGGGCGCCCCCTGCCCCCTCTCGCCTTATCCGAGACCCTGTCTGTTCTCCACACAGTGGAAAAACGCTGCCATTTCTTTCCAGGGCCTGAAGCCTGAGCGGGTGACTCTGGGATGATTCACGAAGGCCGGGGTGGGATTTTCCACTCCACGCTGCAAACAACGGGGCCTCTGAGAGGGCCCAGAGCAGAGGGGGAGGGGAGCGGGGGCCACGGGCCTGCCTGGGGGAGGTGAAGGAGGCCTGGGCTCTGGAGCTCGCACAAACACAGCCGTGGAAACAAACAAGCAGCGGCTCTGGGCTTTCCCCGGGGGTCCTGGCCTCCGACAGCAGGACCTCGGGGAACCCTGTCCCATGGAACAAGTCCACCCTTGTGTCCAGCTGCAAAAGCCCGCCTGCCAAGCCTTGCAGAAAGAAGTAAGTCCTGGCTGGCACGGCCCGCGGCAGCAAGCAGACTGGTTCCCCCGCCGAGGATCTGGGAGACTGGAGTCCCAGCCTGTGTGTGCTGCTGACTGCCGGTGACCCTATGCTGGGACTCTTCAGTCTCTGGGTCTCTGCTTGGTGCCTGTGGCTTGATGGGGAGAGGCAGGGACCCTCAAAGGGCCCTCCCACTTCCGACCATCTGAGCGCACCGTTATTCCCAAGAATAGCCCTCAGGGCTCCGAGATTTTTTTCCCCCAGTCTCTGTCCTAGGGAAGGGCATCCTGGGCCAGGGCTTTTCCTTACGGCCTTACACAGAGTACTGCATCTCCCCGTGCCTCCAGGCCTCAGTTTGTCCAGCTGCAAAATGAGGATATAACATCCAGCTTCCAAGATAATGTGTGCAGGTGCTGGTTTTTCTCCACTTGCTCCCCGGGTCTCTTGTGTGCCCTGGGAATCCGGCCTACAGGCTGCAGCCTCACGCCTTCCTGCTCTCTGCTTCTGGCTGGGTCTGGCCAATGGGAGGTCCCGACAAGAGACGGAAGAGTGGACAGAGTGAGTGGGCGGGGACTTTCTCTACCCAGCGGAGGACTACAGACTACTGTTCATACTTTAACTTTCGCTGGGTTCTGGTCACACATGCCTTCCCCTTGTACCTTCAGGTCCAACCTGTGTGCTTTGCCAGCTGCTGTCGGTTCTTTTGATGCTGCCCACACCTCTGCAAACAGCCCCTGCCTTGAACTCTCTCAATGACCTTGTTCCCCACCTGGAGCTGCAGGATACGGCAGGCAAACTGCTTAGCTCAGAGCCTGGCACATAGTAGGAGCTCAAAAAACACTGTGCTAAAGACAAAGCAAAACAGCCCTCATTCTCCTGGGTTCTAGATGATGACTAGGACGAGCAGTGAATTTCTCAAGCTCTAGCCCCAATTCCTAACCACCAACAGTGGGAAGGCCCTCCTGGATCCAGACAGTCCCAGTCCTCCTAAGGCAGCGATACCCTCATCTCAACCATCAGCACATCAGTAAACAGCCACAACCAACGACAGGGACCAGGTTCTAGCGCTGGATGCTTTATGTCCCTCATCTCAATTGATCCATACAACGACTCTAGAAACGTAGGGAGTACCATATCCCCGTTTTGCAAAGGTAAAAACAGAGGCTCAGAGAGGTTAAGTGACTCGCCAAAGATCACACAGCACCTGGCCCCAAGAAGGCACTCAATCCACATTTGCTGACAGAATGAAAGGATGGCTGGATAAGGGAGTGGTTCCAACCCAGGTCACTCCAAATGTGAAGTCTGTGTGCCGTTGCCCTCCACATGGCCTCCTGACTCCACCAGCAACAGAGATCTGTGTAACCTCAAGGAGCCTGTCCTGGCAGTCAAGACAACCTTTTTTTTTTTCTGTAAAGATCACATTCCTTCATTCATTTCACAGATAGTCATGGAGCATCTGCTGCGGGCCAGGCCCTCATCCGGGTCTCCCTGAGGTGACGCTTGCAAAAAGTGCAAGTGAGTGCAGATGCCAGCGGCCTGATCATGAATAAATAAGGCCTTGACTCGCCTCCTCCCAGGCGTAGGGCTTCTGTGCAGCTTCTGTGCAGTCTCTGTGAACCGCAGCCTCCCCGCCCCTCCTCACCCGGGGCCCAGCTCAGCTTTTCCATGCTCCCCCCTGCCGCTGCTGGGGCTCCCACAGAGCTCCCTTGCTCCGTGGCTACAACTGCTGGCAGGCCCGGGGCCCAGAGCCGTCTCCAACTCTGCCAGTCTGTCTCCTGCCCCTGGGGACCACGGGGATCCCATCAGACCCAGCTGAAACACCCATCTCTGGCTCCAAAATAAGAGCCACTTATTTCTGGGGAGGGAGCTCTTCCAAAGCTGTCAGAGAGGGGAGACAGCCCTAGGGAGAGGAAAGAAGTTCCCAAAGTCACCCAGCAGAAACATCTCCAAGGGGCCTTGGAGATCACCCAGCTCGCTTCCTCACAGGAGATGGGAGCTATTCTTAACTTCCATTCTGCAGAAACCAAGGCTTAGCGTGGCTCAGGGCCACAGAGCTAGTAAGGGGTGGAGTCAGAATTGGAACCCAGGTCTGCATGTCCGCACACGGCGGACAATTAAGCCCCTGACCCAGAGCAGCACAGCTTCTTCTCTGCTGGGACGATATCCTAAATGCATATGGGGGGTCGGAGGCATGTAAGATGGGACAGAGGTTGTGGGAGCCCTTGTCACCACCACTCAGAGATGCCACTTCCACTAGGGGAATTCTGGGCTCTGCCACAATAGAAATGACCAGTTTGCCACCGGCCACATGATGGGCTGGACAAGGCTTCTCAAAGTTTTTTGGGTTCCTATTGGAATGAGGCTAGATTCCGAGCTGAGGGAGGGTGGGACTAGGGGACAGGGTGGGGCATGAGGTGGGAGGCTATGCAAGCAGACTGACGTCCTCCCTCTTGCCCTTGGCCTTCCAGGGTTGGAGGAGCAGGGACAGCCAATGGCCTCTCTGGATGTCAGGAACCCAAAGTCTTATTCCAGTCTCTGCAAGGACATGCTAGGTGCCCTTGGCCTAGTCTTGTCCCTCTAGCCACTGTCGCCCCATCTGTAGAGCAGGGATCAGCATTCCCAGCCTGCCCTCCTGACCCAGGTCCTGTGAGGTCCTAAAGGAAGGTACCACTCATGTAACTCATAAATCTTGTAGGTCTAGAAACAGCAGACTCTTTGGACATTGAGATCTTCCTCTGAGGCCAAGGACAGGCCCTGACACATCTCTGAAGTCCCCAGCCTCCTGCCCTGAGTCTTAGGGTCTCAGAGTGGACCCTCAGCAGAGTGGGATGGAATGTGCCAGTCTTGGCATCTGGCCCTGGGGCGTAAATTTCAACTCTGCTGTGTGCCCCTGGGTAAGTCATGGCCCTTTCTGGGCACAGTCTCTAGGCTCCTCACCTGCCCACTGAGGAAGGTTGAATGGAATGATCCCTAAGTACCCACGTACTGAACAGCAGATCTGGAGTGAGGCCTCACCCCTTCTGACCCACATCGCCAAACCCCAAGGGGACAGTACATAGCCCAGGCACCCGACAGGCTCAAAGGCAGATTCTATGCTCTCAAAACCACTCCTGCTCTAATTGTGCCGGCTTGGACCTGGCTATCCTCTCTCCACAACACACACAGCCTCCGGAGGCAGGGTTGACCTCCTCCACTGGATGGGGTGGAGACCCCGAGGCTCACACACTCTCTCGGCTATGGGGGGACCATTCACCCCATTTTGGCCTCACGGCCAGTGAGCCCAGCACCCACACAGCTTGGGAAGCTGAGTTGTCAGGGCTCGGAGGCACCCAGAGCCTGAGTCAGGCTGGGCAGCCTGGAGGGGTGAGAAGGGGTCCTTCTCTTCTCGGCTCCCAACCTCCTGCCCTGACGATTTCGGAGCACAGGACTTGAACAGAGCGTTGACATAATTGCAAAGCAATGCATACAATTTCCATAAGTTCTACAATATGGTTATAATAAAAACGGGCTCTCAGTCCCCTTGGAGACAGGCTGAATAAATATTATTCCTAATGATTATTAAAACTCATTAAGTGTGTTTGTAAGGCCTGGGAATTCCCAGCATCTGCCACCGTCTCCACGTTGTAGGGAGCCTAACCTCAAACACAGAGCCTGGTGGGAAACCCAGCCTCAGGGAGGAGAAAACCACACGGTGGTCATCTCCAAGGCAGGAGAACAGAGCGGAGGCCTGAGCTTTCTGGAAACTCCATCCCCTACACTCCCCACCCCGGAGGAATTGGCCTCCAGCTGCAGAAAGGTCGTTGCCCCTGGAGACAGTCCCAGGCATGCTAGAGGCACCGGGCCTGAGAACATCTCCTGCACGAGGAATGTTCTTACTCCTTTCCTTGACTGTTCAGGCCCACCCTGACCGTCAACAGGGGCCTTAATGTGTGACTCCCCGACAGGGGCCACACATCAAACACTTAGAGGAGCGGGGACAGGGGAGAGGACTGGGTTGGAAGCCCCCCGATCGGGAGATGTGGGGACACATGGGGAGGGCCCATCCTGTCTGAAGGGGAGGCTCTGACCGGGCAGCAGGCCACTGGCTACTGCCTCTGTCCCCTTCCAACAGAAGCTGGTCACCGGGTCTTTTATAAGAAATCTCTCACATTTTTTAAAACGTTAGTAACTTATTAAATATTTTTAAACAATGCTGCGTGTGCCAAACAAAACACGTTCAGGACTACCCGTGGGTGACTTTTGTCCAGAGCTCCCAGACTAGCTGGTGGGCTGGAGGGGCTCTCCTCCATCAGTCGGGAGAGCGGGACTCTGGAAACCATGTGGCCTAGGGGCCAGTCAGCTAGTGGTTTTCCTCGAGCCACTTGACCTTCACAGTTGGGTTAGCAGAGAACAACCTGGAGCCTGGGCCCGCCCAAGCCCAGGGGTGCTCTGCTCCCGGCACTGGCCACCAAACCCAGAGCTGCCCCAGTGGACCGTGGGTCACAGCAGAGCAGACAATCATGAGCACATCACAGGGAGAGGATCAGGGGACCTGCGAGCCAGCCGAGACCCTGCCCACAGCCACCTCCCTGCTCTGAGTTGCTTCTCCGGCTCTGCCCTAATGCCAGGAGTCGCCTCTTGTTCCGACTGCCCCTGCCACCCCCTTGAGCTCCAAGCAACATGCACACCTCACCCCATCTTACCGGCAAACCACAGTCTCCCTTGGGCCCTGGAGGTCCCATCAGCAACGGGAAAGGCGTGGGTCCCGCCAGGTGGAAGAACAAATAGCTGTGACTCGTGGGCCAGGGACTGGAGGACAGGAATCGCACGGGGGCCAACGCTGGGGCCGGGGTGGTCGGCCAGTGGGGCCGGGACAGTCTGGAGCTGGGCCTGGTTGTCAGGTCATTCGACGGGACATCCCTGGCCGCCTTCCCAGGTCTGAGGGGGACGGGCTTCCGGGGGCTGCTCTTGGGTCTGGCTTTCTTTGTGGCCTCTGATCCAGAGGGTCTCTTGCTTCTGGTGGGGGCCAAGCCAGGAACAAGGGTGGGAGGCATCGCTGTGGCTGGCGGAGGGATCCTGGGAGAGCCAGGATGGAGGACAGGGGGCAGGGGCGGAACCGTGGGTTGGGGAGGTCTGTGGGTGCCGGTGTGGGCAGGGGCCGGCTCACTGCTGCGATGGCTCGGCTTGGCCTGGGTCTGGCCCGCTGGGAGAAAAGGCCTTTTGGAGGAGCCAGTGTCCAGAAGTAGGGGCCGAGTGCTGGGTAGCAGAGGTCTGGGCGTCACGGGGGTCCTCTGGCTCGGCTTCACTGAGGGGCGGGAGGCTTTGGCAGGAAGTGGGTGGGAAGTGGGGGGCACTGGCTTCTTGGTGGGTGGGGCTGCTTTTGTGAAGGAAGGCTGAGCGGCCTTCTGGGGTCGGCGGGTGCTTTTGACAGGGCCTACTGAAGGAGAAGGGACCAAGAGCCTGTCTGGATGGCTTTTGGGGGTCTTGGTGGCTGCGCTCTTCCGAAATGGCTGGACAGGTGTGGTGGAACTGGCCGGAGAGGCCGGGGGCACAGCAGGGAGTGCTCCACCGGCTGACAGCTTGGCGGGCGGCAACGGGATCCGGGCTGGGCCCCCTTCGGCCGCACGCCAGCGAGGCTCTGTGGTGCTAGTCCTCAGGGGCTTGGAGGGTGTGACGGGCACCAGAGTCCCCCTGGGATCCCTGCTTGCTGGCCGTGACCCCAGGGCTGGCGCAGCAGTGGTCAGGTTCTCCAGGCCTCGCAGGGCAAGGTCAGTCTGGAAGGTGAAGGTCGTGCCCGAGTCTCGGGGAAGGAGGGGTCCCAGCTGGGGCCGGTATGTGTCAGCCTGTCCGCACTGCCTCCTCAGGTGGGTACAGTAATTGTGAGCGACCTGCGTCACAGGGTAGATACTGAACTGGCACAGGGCGCCTTCAAACTGGACCGCATGTGGGTTCATCTTCCCAAAGAGGAAGGAGCCCTCGGGGTCAAGGGCTGGGTCCTTGTGGAAAGGCAGCGGGACAGGCACCCGGCGCTGCCCACACGCCGTCACCAGGGTGACAGTGCGGCCCCGGAGCTCCAGGGCGAGGTGATGCCAGCGCCCGTCGTGCACATCGAGGTCAAAGGCCACGGAGTGCCGGGGCCCCAGGTGGACGACCGTCTTGCCGGGGAGGAACTGCAGGCCCAGCTGCAGCTTGCGCTTCCGGCTGCGGACGGCGAAAAGGAAGGCATGGTTCACCCGGTGGGAGCAGAGGCTCAGCACCAGCGCCAACTCTGTGCCCAGGGCGGTGGGAAGGACGGCGGCCGTGGGGGCCTGGAGCCGGCTCCTCTGCGTAAAGATGAAGCCCGATGGGAACGGAATGACCCCCGGGGGCGCGGGGCTCCGGCCACCCCCTGCTTTCGTCCAGCTGAGGCCCAGCCGCTGGAGGACGTCCACATCTGCAGAGGGAGCGCAGAGGGGGAGAGGGCGCGGTCAGGGCCTGCTCCTGCCCTAGGCCCCTCCAGGCGCACAGCCGGGGAGGCCGGTCCACCCACTGCTACCCGACGCTTGGGGCCGGGAGCGCGGAGTCGGAACCAGTCCCCCGTCTGGCGGAAAGGCCCTGCCTGTGCTTGTTTACAGCACAGACCCTGAGCTAGACGTGTGACTTTAGGGCCTCAGTTTGCTCATCTTTGAATGGGATCACAGTAGCACCAGACTGAGAAAGCTGCCACGAAGAGCAAACGAGCTGGCACGCCTGAAAACAAGCGCCTGGCACCCAGTAAGCACTTGCCGAGGACAGCTGTTCGTACCAGAAATAATGACCGTCACCAGAGGCCAGCTGTGAGTAGTCAGGCTCATTCCGTTGTCCATCTCAGAAGCTGCCTCCTCCAGGAAGCCGTCCCATGAGTGAGGGAGCAGGGTCACAGGAGCTCGGTAAGGATGTCCAGCGGGCCTGACTGGTTTGACCGCCTTTAGGAAGGTCCCCAGCCCCCTCTGCACCCCCTAGGTCTCTCTGTGGCCAGAGCAGACTGGGGGAGCTGCCTTCTGCGCAGAAGGAAGAGGACACATCCGATGACTCCCCGCCTCCCTGCGCAGCCTTGGACAGAGCAGAGGAAGCGATCGAGGCATCCTTGTAACCTCTGTCCTCTGGCGAGGCGTCTGGACATCGACTGCGGCCTGGCCAGGTCACATCCGCCCAGTAATTACAACGGTGGGGCTCGCCAAAGGAGGGCTTCCAGCGTGTTTATGGAAAGGCTTCCTGACCTTGCCTCTCGCAGGGTCATTCGACCTCCTGTAGTGGGCCGAGCTGCCAGTGTCTGCAGAAGGCAGCTCCCGAACTCTGACTCGGAAAGGAGAGGCCGCCTCCAGAATGGGGGCCTGGCTCGGGTCCTTGGCTCCCTCCCACCAACCCCCTGAATTCAGCAACCTAGGCCCTGAGCATGGTACGTGGGGTCCACGTGGGGCTGGATATGGCACTTAGCACTTAGCCCTCGGCCGGCAGCTGTGAGATGGACAGATGGGCGGATGAACAGATAGATGGGCCAGGAGAAGATGAGTGCTATACGTATGTAGCGGGCTCTGGAGTCAGAAGGCCGGACTTCAGAGCCAGACAGAGCCACCCGGGAGTCTGGGCTCTGAGCCTCCGTGCCCTCCGCTGCAAAACGAGGCGGCAAAGAACGCCTCCTTCAGAGGGTTGTTGGCTGTCCTCGTCCAGACACCTCTGGACGAGTCTCTTCCTGACCCCTGAGCCTCAGTTTCCCTGCCCAGAAGGCAAGGGCAGCCAGACGTGAAGGCGGCCACCAAGCGCTCACGATGTTCGAGAACACCACAGTCCCAGGTTGCTCTTTGAGGCTGGCCTGGCTTGAAGACCTGTTTTCCTCCCTAAGGATCTGTGGGCCTTCGTTTCCCTTCAAATTCTCCTTTCTCCCACCTCCGTCTGTCCTGAGCTCCTAAGCTCAAATAAACCACTGCTCCAAGATTCTCTTGGTCGCGGTGGATTCCCCACGTCTCCATCGCGGAAACCTTCCTATAAGCACAAACTACTACTCCCTGCAAACAACTTCTAGGGGAGGAGGCATTTGCTGGGGAAGAGGTGAGGGCAGGAAGCCACCTCTCCCTCCCCTCATCCCACCTGAGCGGCCCCCCGAGCTCCTCCCGCCCCCATCCCCCTCCAGCCTGCACTGCATGCCCTCACACACTGCAGCTGACAGCTGCTTCTACCGGCCTGGCCAGGTGCCACCGATGAGCTTCCCCAACTGTCCTCTGCAGGTGGCTTTCAAAGCTGACCCCAGCCAGTCTCCAGGCCTCCCCCAGAGACAGTGTGCAGGGCAGGGGCAAAGCCCCACACTCTGCCACCCGGAGCTGACAGAGGCCTCTGACCACCGTGGGCACCACAGGGGATGGAGAAGGACCGTTCTTGTCCAAGTGGTCAAGTAAATGCTAGAATTAACAACAATAAACACTAGTATTTACGGACCACTTCCTATGTGCCAAGTGCTTTATGTGTTCTATCTCGCCCAATTCTCTCAATCATCTCTAAAGAAGATACTGTTTAGCATCCCCCTTTACAGAGGAGGGTCAGAAAAGTTTGCTATAGGAACGAGCCCAAGGTCACACAGCCTATAACAAAAGGCACAGCCAGGACTTGAACCCAGGCCACCTGGCTCCAGGATCTCTGTTCTTAGCACAATGCTATCCCAAGCTGGAGCCCCTCAGACTCGTTGGAGAGTGGGGTGGAGACCCATCCAGAATCCAGGGGCCAGGACCTGGGGGCCAGGGGAATGAATGCAGCCCAACGCCAAGCAGAAGAACCCTGCCAGCTGGCCGCGGCGATATCCCTTTATTACATAAACCTGGCTCCGCAGAGCTCCGGCCTCTCCCCAACACCCCCCGCCCCCCATTGCCTGACTCAGGACTCTGGACAGCTGTTCACCTACTTTGTGGGGGAAACAGCAAGCTCGGAAAATATGACATTTGCACAAAATGTTGCCGGGCAGCCGGAGTCTCTTCCGGGCACGGCCCTCCCCTCCCGGGGACCCAATCCCTGCCGGCGACCAGGTCAGGCCACAGGGGCTCTGGGAGTGCCCCGCTGCCTGCCCCCGGCACACGGGCAAGCGTGGAGGAGGGGAAGAGCCGCTATTCTAGGAGGCCTTGTGGCTGCTTGACAAACAGATGTGGGAGAGGTTTCAGTTTCCCGGAGCAGCTGTGCAGCCAGCCCACCGCCGCTCTGGCCCCCTGGCTGGGTCCTCGGGGATGGCAGGGGAGAACAGGATCTCACAGCAAGGGGAGGGAGGGGTGGCCTTCATGCCTCCTCTCAACAGATCTTAGTATAACCCTTGGACAAATCAGGACGACTGAGGCTTACCTAACCATGATTTCTTCCAATTCTGCCCCCGCCCCTGTAGGAAAGAAAGGGTCACTCTCCCACATTTCTGCACTGAGCCTTTGCTGTCCCTTACAAAACTCCAAATGTCACTCTTCCCAGCCTGGAGAGAATTTGCCAATGATGGGCTCCATTCTAATTGACAGGAAAACTGAGGCACTGAGTTCCAATTAGGGCCATGGCTGTCTCCAAGCCCTGAGTTCTCAGGTCTCTTCTGCCCTTCCTTGCCCCCCACCCCCTGCACAAAGAGAAGAGGGAATTACCTTCAGGAGGTCCTTGGGTGGAGGCCAGATGACAGGCAAATGAGACTAAGATCCAGGTGAAGAGAAACCCCCTAGAGACGGGAAGACACAAGCAGAGGCGGCATCAGCTTCCACCCTGGGGCCCAGATCTGGCTGGGGAGCTGGGAAAGAATCACCCACCCCCAGACACCCCACCCTGGCCAGGCTTGCCCTCTGGAGGCGGGGGAGGCCAAGCACAGGCCCTATGACCCCACAGGGTAGCCCATGCTCCCGGGGTTTCCAGGCGTAACCTCTAGGGGCAGGACCTGCTCACGCGGCACAAGTCACAAGTAAAACGTTATTTTTCACAGATTGGGAAACCAAGGTCGAAAGGTAGGGAGCAGTGGGCGGGAAGCCTTGTCGTGGGCATCAGAAGACCCGGGATCCAGCTTCAAATCTGTTGCTGACTCACTGAGCCACAAGGGGCCAGCCCCTCCCCGTCTCTGGGCCTCAGTTTCCCCATCTGTACTATGGCCTCATGATCCTAAGACCCAATGGGAAGCAGAGCCAGGACTGAAAGGTCAGTGGGAAAACCAGAGCCTGGTCACTTGGATGATGGACATCCTCAAAGGACAAAAGCGATGGGAAATCCCTCTGTAGGCACAAGCGGGGAGGGAGAGAAGACCCCTTAAGCAGGACCAGAGCACGCTAAAAGCTGCCCACCTGGTCTCAGGCTGGCAGAGAAAGGTGGGGGAGAGTAAACAGAGGACACTGGGGGGGGGGTCATGCAGACCCAGGTGCAAACGCGACCCCATTGCTTACCAGCTGTGTGACCCTGGGTGAGTCACTCAGCCTCCCTGAGCCTGCCTCCAGCTCTGCGGCATGGCCGACACTCCCTATCTCACTGGCCAGGCGTGAGGATTAAATGAGCTCATGCATGTCAAGGGGTTGGCCTGGTGCCAGCCACAGAAGTGCGCCTTCAGCATCACGGCTACCGCCGGACTCTGGGGCCCAGAAGGGTTAATGCTCTGCTCAGTGGCTCCTGCCAAGATGGGCAGAGGCAGTGATCCGATTTCACCTTCCTGTGGGAGCAGCCACCGGCGACACCCGAAGCCACCCGGGGCATCTGATCCCCGAGCGGGCAGAGGGGAGGGCGGCACGTGGCCAAAGCCGGCCAGCCGGGATGCAGGCAGAGAGAGCCTCGACCGGCGGGCGGCGCGGGCTAAGGCTGACACACAGGCCCGGGAGCCATTTCCAAGAGGAAAACTAGAATGGTGCACTTCTGGGGAATCGTGTAATTCAGGAAACCCATCCGCCGGAATTGATGTCTGACACCCCCTGTTCCTCCCAGCTCCCTAGGCGCCCTGGAAAAACCAGCTCACACTCTCTGATTTAATGGCAATCACTCCCATTTAACTGCAGTTATAATCAATAGTGATCCCGATGGGCACTGTAGAAGACACTGGTGGTTACCTACACTTAGTCATCCCCCTGCCCTTCTTGTTCAGGCAGGCAGGGACTTTGGAGGATACTGGATAAATCTGGGTAAGTCTAAGCCAATCTTGCGAACTTCATTTGCCATGCCAGTGACCGCTGTGGGCATGCATGCATGACCCAAACATGGTCAGTAAGATGTGAGGGATGGCTCTTAAAGCCTCCCGGGAAAGTATTTCCAGGGGATAGAGAGGTCTTCTTCTAGCTTTTGCATATTATTGAGCAGGGATGCGTGGCTGCTGCAGCCATTTTGTGCACATGAGGCTAACAGGCTCCATGAGCACATGAGGACGACAGAATGGAAAAACAGTGGATGTCTGATGACACGTGAGATGCTGAATTAGCCAACCCGTCACTGTTTTTCCTTTAGATGTCTTGATATGGGAGTTGATAACTCCCTTTGTGTAAGCCATGTCGAATCGGGTCACTTGCAGCACAAGGCAAACTGAATGAAATAGCATTCAGATTCAGATGCTGATGGTGGTCCTTTGAAAGCCACCTCCAGCACCTGGGCCCTTGCCTGTGCCGCTCCCAAGTGTTCCTGACAGCGTTCTTTTGTCTGGTCAGTTCCCACACACGCCTTAGACCCCAGTTTGGGCGTCACCCCCCACCGCGCATACCTCATTGCAGCAGGTGTTCCGCGTGAGCCCATTGCCTATTTTCCTATTTCCCTTTCTAGAACAAGTCCCTGAAGGGTAGGAACCACCTCTGTCTCGTTTGCGCATACTCCCAGCACCTGGCAAGCATATCATAAACGTTCAGTGTATCTTTGTGGAAGAAATGAGTGGTTCCTGGTATTACAGGACCCTGGACTTTAAAAGCATCTCCCCAGAGGCCCTCTCTCTACCTCTGACTTGTTTCCAGGGTTGCTCCCAGATAATCCTCAGCTCCCCCTCAGCCTCTCCAATCTGCTGCCACTTCTGTGAAAAGGCCCTTTTTCAAGGGGCCTGTCCTCTCTGCCACTGCGGGCCTCGCCTCCAGCTCGCCGCTAGCAATGACCAGTGTCTTGCTGCCCCGGCGTTGCTTGGGGGGAAGACCAGAGACTGACCCTTCTGCCATGGCCTGCCCACCTGAAGCCCACGGCAGCCTCATCGGTCCTGAAAAGAAACGACAGGAGGCTTCGTTTGCTGTGACAAAAACCGAGGCTTAAGGAGGCCAGGTTCCTCCTCACGGTCACCCTGGGCAGGCTCTGAAGTCATAATTCTTCAGTACTATCCCACGTGCACCAGGTAGACACTTCAGAAAACTGGAGCCCCATCAACTGGGGAAGAACTGCATCCCAGTTCCGACGGTTCCCAAAGCACAACCAAACAACGAACTGCCTATCAAAGGGTCTGAGAAGTCCTGCAATGAAGACATGGACAGGGCTTTCTGTCCATCAGCAGTCCCCAGACTTAGAGGACCTGGGAATTCCTTTTTCTGGAGAATGCCTGCTCTGAAGGCACTGCCCCTCACTTCCCAGGGTCCCAACAACCTCATCTCTGTCCCATTTCCTTCCATCCTCTCTTCTCAGCCCCTTCCAGGCACAAGCCCTCACTCCTTGAGTGTCTCACCGTATGACGTCACATCCACCCGGCTTAGGATGCTTCCCAAGCTGATAAAGAGAGGCGGGTGGAGAGGAGAAGGCATAAGAACCATACATGTCCTTAGCTGATTTTTCTGGCTGCTGTCATGCCAAGGTGACCCCTCTGGAGAGAATAAGGATACACTTGGGGGAAATATTTTTAATCCCTGAAGGTCAGGAGAAAGAAGACTCACAGGAGGGATGGGATCAGAATCTTTGCTTCAATTAAGCTTCCCAACACCATGGTTTCCAACTCAAGCATTTCAGCCCTGAAGGCCTGTTATCAATGAATTTGCATTCACCTTGACAAAGGCAACTGACCTCTTAGACCTGAATGCTGTGTGCACTTCTCTCATATCCTGCCAAAGTGAAGGGTGGGTATAGACAGCAGGAGAAGGTCCTCTGAGATCATCTAGAGGCCAGATTCTAGTCCCATCCCCTCATTGTGGAGATAGGGAACTGAGGCCCAGAGAGGGGAAGTGATTTGTCTAAAGCCACACAGCATGTCAGTGACCCACATGATCTGCTCTTCTACTTAGCAAACAGTCCTTTCCACCTGACTTGTCTCTTATGGAGAAGAAACTGGACACTTACAGGGACTTCCTATTTGCCAGAGAGCAGAGTCCAGCCTTTACCAACAGGAACAGAGGCGCAGCCTAGGGAGCCAACAAGCCATCTAAGTGAGCTCCAGGCCTGGAAAGTTGGCTCCCGGAGGGAGGCCCTGCTGAATCGTTTGCTCCCGTTCCAATGCTGTTTAGGCTACTGCTAATAATGTTTAGTGCCTGCGTTGGCTCAAGCTTTGTTCTTCCCGACTTCTGTTTTCACCACTGAGTTGTGGGCCTTGGCTCGGTGAACCCAGGGCTCCAGAATGTCGGGAAGACCAGAGCCAGGGGACCAGAGTGGGCAGGAGGCAGCTGCAATGGCAGTACCTACACATTAGGGAACCTGACCTTGGAGACACAGCCTGGCCACACAGCCCTCCAGGAAGGGAAGCCAGGTGTCCCTACCTTTGCAAAGGGCCCTCTGCCAGCACACCAAATGTGGCGACTCCGGGACCACTAGGCTGCCAGACTACACCTGGTATGCTTGGTTTTTCCCCCCATCCTTCCTACCTGGGATCGTGAGAGACGACTGTAAGAGATCTTAAGAGACCCCTACCAACTTGAACGTCCTGCAAGAGCTCAGAGCTGAGACCCAGGGCATGAAAAAACATACAAGGAAAGCGGCCCTGTGGACTCCAGGCCTGGCTGTGAGCTCACAGGACAAGCTGGGGGGGCCGCTGGCCTGAGGACCGCAGAACAGCAAAGGGAGACAGACCTGTCCCACCTGCCTCTGTGGACCAGCCAGGCCACTGTGTGCCCAGAGAGCTGCACCCAGGCTCCTCTCGTCACACCTGATACCTCTTCCGTGGGAACACACACAGGTCATCTGTCTGGACAGGATGCAGCCCAGAACTTTCCAGTTGACTCACATGTCCATTCAAGACGAAGTGAATAATAATACAAATAACAGCGGCCGTTTATTGACCATTTACTACATGCCACGCACTGTTCTAAGCCCTTGATGAACACGGTCCTCTGTTAATCCTCACTAAACCTTGCAAGCCGAGAATTTAGCTGCCCTTTTTGTGGATCAGAAAGAAGGGAAGCCCAGAGGCGAGGGGGCCTGTCCAAGCTCCCACACTGTCTGATCGCAGGGCTCCCCCTGCCCTCCAACCCGCCGCCCACCGGGTCAGGCTGTGGGATACCAAGAGGGTCCTCCAGACACAGAACGGGGAACAGAGAACGTGCTGTCGAAGTAACAGGCAGAATGTGCTCAGACAGAGATAGGGAGTGGGTGACGTGGGAAGGGCAGCCCCACCCTCGGCCAGTGCACCCCACCAGGGGAGCTGATGGCCATTGAGATGAGACCCGAGGGGCAGCAGGACATGTGAAAGCACCAGGAAGGGGAGCGTTCCAAGTACAGGGAGGAAAGGGAAGGAGAAAAGAGGCCAGAGATGTGCTCCGTAGTGTCAAGGAGCCTGGTCTGGGCGAGGTAAAGGAGAGCAAGGCTGGAAGTCTTGCCAGGACCAGAGGGCACAGGATCTGGGGCACTGCTGTGCTGAGGGAGGCAGCGAGACCAGGCGAGGCAGAGGCTGGGCCTCAAAGCAGCGTGACTGCCCGCTTGCCCAAAGCTCGGGCCCCACTATGGGGTGCTCGCCTGGCACCACTTTTCTGCCCAGCCGCTGGCATCTGCCTTGGCACAGGGTCTTCTGGAGAAAATGAGTCAGCAATGTCCTTACTTGCGCGGGGTGTGTGTGTGTGTGTGTGTTGTGGTGGGGGGCGGGGGAATCTCAGCCAGCCAGCTTTTTCCAAGACATGGGAAAGAAGTGGGGGGGGGCATCATCCCCTGATTCCAGCTCCAAGGGGCAGGGCATGTGGGACAGGGCGGAGCGACAACCCTGACCAGCCTCTTGGGAATGTCCTCTGGTTCTGGAAGGGTGGAAAGGGAGCAAGTCCTATGAGCCACAGTGCATAGGGCCCGGAGGGCTGCTCCCATCCTCACTCACTCCCACACGCACACCCACACTCAGTAACTCGCTCTCACACACACTCACTCTTTACAACTACTCCATCAGCCCCTGGATCCCAGTCTCTGCTTCTGTGCAATGACAAGGGCCCTTTCTGTTCTGACATGCTGGATCTCCCTTTTTCTCTCTCACACCCCAAGAATGACAGGGACTGAGACACCCCCTCCCCCAGCCCCCAGGGAAGGAGGGAACACTGAGACGAACAGACCCAAACAGACTGACACACATGCGGAGACTTCCAGAAGCAGGGGACGTGCAAAGACACACAGACGCCGAGACTGCAGCAGAAGCCGAGACCCGGAGACATAGACGCCTGCGGATAGTTTCACAAGACCTGACTAACTTACAGGCTCAGGACCTGTAGACACCGACACCGGAACACACCGAGACAGCCAGAAACAGGGACCCTTCTTCCCCCAAGCGTCCCCGAAGACCCCCTCCGTCCCCAACCCGCCGCCCCAGGCGCCACCACCCACCCCCAGTGCAGACCCCAGGGCTGGCTCCGCACCGACCCTCCCCAGCACGGCCCCTGGCCAACGCGAACGCGGAGCCGGGCCAGCGGGGCAGGGCACACGGCGCTCGCCAAGCCTCGCCAGGCCGGGGGGCGCAGCCCGCGTTAACCCTTGGCGGCCCGCCTCAGAGGGGCGCAGGAAGGGGCAGGAAGCCGGCGTTCCGGGGAAGCGTCCGGCGCGGCGGGGAACCCCCAGCCCTCCTCCGGGCTGGAGCAGCAGGAAGCTGGGGAGGGGGCGTCCCCGAGCGTGTACTCACCCCCCGCGCGCCGCCGCCGCCGCTGTGCCTCTGGCCCCCCGCGCCGATCCCGCTCCCATGGCGGGCCCCTACTTCATGCTCCCGAGCCCGGGGGGCAAGTGTGGGCGCGCCCCATGGGGCCGCCAGCCCCCCGCCCCGCCGCGCCAGGCCGGCTCAGAGCGCGCGGCCCCCGCGCCCCCAGCGCAGCCTCGCGCCCAGGGGCGCCGGAGCAGGCAGGCAGCGCGGCCGGGGCCCCGCGGGCGCCCGCGCCAGGCCCATGGTCCCAGGAGTCCCGGCGCCGCGCTCGCCCTGCCTCGCTCTTTTACTGCTTCCACCGAAAAGGAAGAAGAAGCAGGCAAAAAAAGAGAGATGATCAAACTTTTGGAGGCGGGCTGCTGTCGGTCCCCGGAGGCAGAGCGAGGCCGGGCGAGGGCGCGCGGAGGGCGGTGGAAGCTGCCTCCCCGCCGGCCTGGGGGAGGAGAGGAAAAGGAAGGATTTGGGGGAAATGAAGGCGATTTAAAGTCTCGGCCCGCGGTGGCTCTCCACCTTCTCTCCTCCCCGCGCCGAGCCGCCCTCTGCTGCCCCATGCTGCCCCCTGCCGGCCGCAGCCGGTCACACAGCCTCGGCTGGTCCACCGCAGCCCTTCAGAGACATCCCCCACCTACGCCCCCCCCCAGTAAAAATGGGGAAACTGAGATTCACAAATAGGAAAGAGATGGCCAAGCCTGCACAGCAGGGCGACCACAATTCGGAGATTTGGGACTTCTGGCTTGTGAGACTGGAGGGCTGGGGGAGGTCCCCGAGCTTAGGGGGGCCGAGATAGAAGGAGAAAGGGGACAAATATTACTGCTGAAAGGAACCCAGTGTTCCGAGGAGAGATCTCGACCAGTACTCAGTATCTAGACTCCCACAACAGCAACAACCCAGTGTCTTACCACACATACACACTCCTCTTCCCAGATTCAGAACACCCTGGAGAACAGACCTCCCCGGCACATACATAGTGGGTGAGGTTGTTAAACGCTGGTCACCCTCTTCCCTTCCCTGTCCAGTCGGTAAGAAATGGGAGCTAAACACCCCCCCTACACACACACACACACACACACACACACACACACACACCCTCAGAATGCGACCAAAGACTCCCTCGGATCCCCTGCTGGAGCACACCACGGCACACACCTTGACTCCGCTGCAAGCGCCTAGCAAATTCGCACGGCCACAACCCCAGTCCGAGCCCAGGCATTAGAAGTCCCCTCCACCTCCGCCTCCATGGTTTGTTCACCGGTGCATACAAACTCCCACACACATCCACGCTTACCACAAACTCAGACACACACTCACACTCATCCATATACAAGCTTGGCCACGCACTCCTCCAGGGCTCACACAAACACACCCTGGGGTGTCTGGACTCGAACACAACCCGGACTCCCTACAAGCAGACGCAGGCACACTAGTACTTACACGCACACAAATGCACACTAGCGTATCCGTATCCCCCCAACACACACTCCTGCACACACATCTTCACGTGCACACACACCTCACATACACACGCGCGCGCGCACACCCCCACTTGCACACAGCTCTCCGCTAGTGCCCACCGCAAGCGTGCACAAACGCATTCATTCCCCACACGTGCAGCCCCCCCCCATACGCGCGCAACTTTACGCACACACACCGCTACCCCCAGAGCTCCAGGAGCCCCGGGGCACTTACTGGGTCCCTAGCTGCGAGGCTGGACGGTCAGTCCTTCCTCGGGCGCCTAACGGCATTTGTGTTCATGGGTCCCCGCAGCCCCGGAAGCGGGCGCGGGGGCGGGGGTGCGGGGTCCCCTTCCCTAAACTGGGCGCGGGCGCTCGGAGCGCAGCGGCACCGGGAGGGGCATGGGCGCACGGGGCTGCGCCGCCGACCCGGTCCGCCTGCGCTCGAACTTCGTCCGCTCTGTGTCCTCCGACTCCGGCGCGGGCTCCGGGCGCGGGGGGCGGCTCATAGGTGCTGGGGCCGCGGCGCCCGCCGGGCCTTTTGAAGTCTCCGCTGGGGGCGGGGAGGGGGCGCTGAAGGCGGCCTTTTAAACCGTGGCTGCACGCGGGCTCGGTGGAGCAAGGTGTCTGGTTTCAGCAAACTTTAGGAAAAGTCCCAAGCCGAAGCGAAGGGCGGGGGGGCGGGGGGGGGGTAGGTGGGGGGAGCCAAGCCAGAAAGAAAAAGAAGTGGAATAGCTATGCGCTGCTTCCTGCAGGGGGCAGAGCACCCATGGCTGCCAGGAGGCCCGCGGGGCCGGGTGCTGGGGAACCCGCAGATGACTGGGTGGCGCGTGGAACACCCCCCACAACTCCCACACCACCGCGTGAAACTGGATTCTTAACCTCCACGCGGACGAGCCCCAGGGGGCGGCAGAAACACCCCAAAATTGCACAGAGGATGTGTGTTTGAGCGTTCTGGGTGAGAGGGGCCACGGGTTTTCCTCAAGTTTTCAGAAGCCCTGGAAGGTTGAAAATTCCCAGACCAAGTGCAGCTGGTGGTTTCTGAAGCTGCATACCTTGTGCTAGGCGGATCCAGCCCTTAAGGATAGTTTTTTGATACGTTGTTCATCATGGATTTTTTTTTTTTTGGCATTGGTTTTGACATTTGAAAAGTATTGCATTAAAATATTATGTATCTTGATTAGTTAGGGGTCTTTTGGCTTCCCCTTGATTCCAAAACTCCACTTCTGAGAGTTGTTTCCAGTACCAAAATCCCAAAAGGGGTTTGCACCCTTTCTGTCCTCCTTCTAGCCAGGTGTAGCACTCTGCTAAGTCTGCTATCAACATTTACAGAGGAGAAAGCTGAGATGCTGAAAAATTAAGTCACCCTCCTGAACTCACCAAGCTGGTAGGCTGTGGAGGTGGGACTGGAACCAAGGTGGTCTGATTCCTGTTTTCCGCAGCTGAGCACAATAATCCAAACCTTAGCCTTTAAGGGGTTCCAAGCAGACCCTTGTCAGCCTCCCCAGCTTCATCGTCTGCCCCAAAGCCCCAATCTCTCTGATTCCTGGACGAGCTCTGAACAAGCTAGGCTACTTCAAGGCCTGGTCCAGGCTGCTTCCTCCCGGGTTCCCTCCCCACCCCACCCCACCCCCTTTGCTGCCTGTCCTTCAAGGGCAGCTCAAGCTCTCTCCCACACCCGAGTTATAGCGCATGTCACATGGTGTTGTCATTGTCACATCCATCTCTGTGTCCCCACACCCAGCACGGAGCCTGGGACACAATAGAGGCTCAAACCATTAATAATTTAAATGAGTTTCTTTAACTCCTCCAGCGTGCAAACCCCTGTACAAAACTGAGGGAAGAGGGTCTGCCACTATGGGCGAGAAGACAAAGAACTTGGCACAGGGTCCTGCTTTCTGGGCACACACTCATTTGTAACATGGACAGAAGGCATGCTCAGTCAGCAGCTTGGGGCAGGAAAGAGAGCCTGCATGGGAGATATCAGACACTTCCATGCAATCACATCAAGATAACACAAGGAGAATGTGATAAATGCTACTGATGAATTGAATTGTCAAGCAGAGCTAAGGGATGGAGAGAAACCAGAGAATTCTCCCAGGAGGAGGTGGCCTTTGGCTCCTGAAGGGTGTGTTAAATGATCATGGAGCCATGGGGGAAGACAATTCCAGTGGAAGAGTCACCAAAAGGCCAGGAGTGCAGGAGTGGATTTCAGGCAGGTTTTGAAGGGGGCGGGGTGGGGAGGGGAGTAGTGGAGAAGCTATCCAGCTCCCCCCTGCACTGTGTGGGTGATGCCCCGTGACTCACTGGCCACGAAGCCATTTCCAGGCAAGGGGATGCATTTCCTCAAAGGTCAGGGAGGGGGTCAGTGGCTGAGCACCAAGGCCTTTCCAAATCTCACTTCCAAATCCAAGTATCCAATGTTAAGGCCCAGGGACCCCTGCTCCTTGAAGGGCTGCTGCAAAGACCCATGGGAAACCCTGTTAAAGCACATAAAGATCGATGGTATCTTCTTCCAAAGCCTCACTCTCTCCATGTGTAAACTAGGTGCGTCACACACGGTCACCTGCATGAGTCCTTGAGCTCGTGAGTATGAGAGTGTTGTTCAACAGTAATCCAATTTGGTAGATAATTCTTGAGGGCTAACTGTGTTTGGCTAGGTTAGAAGGGAAATGAAACTCACGGTCTTCCCGGGGCTCATGGTCAGCTGGAAAGAGAAGTCATGGACACTGATAGGAATTCTTGGGAAGGGATCTTGCTTCTTGTGCTGCTGCGTCACACCCAGTCTTCCCACCAAATAGGTTCCTGGCACCACACCAGAGACTGGGGAAACAGTTCTGCTGGAGGTTGGGTCCCAAAGACACTGAGCCATTGCCTATTCTGTGCACAAGAAGGGGCAGTTCACGAGCCAGCCTGAACTGGGTCATCTCTGTGGGCTAAAAGGCAATGAGACTAGGAACTGGTGGACAGTGACTGCCAAGCCCAGGTGACATCTCAGACACAAGGTAGAAGAATAAGAATTCCTGGCCTGGTAGGGACCCAGGGGCCACACAGTGGCCCAAGCAGATCAGCCGTGGACCCTGCTGTCTGAGACACATCTGCCTTGAGACGAACTGTTCATCTGCAAAGCCTTACTGGCGGACACATAGTAGGTGCTCAGTAAACGGTCATGAATGAATCACAATTGAAGTCTTAGCCTGCAGAACAGAGGCTGCAGGGGCACCTGGGTGGCTCAGTCGTTAAGCGCCTGCTTTTGGCTCAGGTCATGATCTCAAGGTCCTGGGACTGAGCCCTGCATCAGGCTCCCCACTCAGCAGGAAGCCTGCTTCTCCCTTTCCACCCCCCCCCATGCATCTGTTCCTTCTCTTGCTGTGTCTCTCTCTGTCAAATAAATAAATAAAATCTTTTTTAAAAAAAAGAAAGAAAGAAAAGGACAGAGGCTGCACACTGCCCAGATATTAAACCCCATTAATCTCTCCACCCAGCTTTTTCTTTTTTTGCTCTCCAGTCGGGCTGGTGGAGGAGACCAGCAAGGAGACAGGCAAAAACTGTGGTCCAGAAAGCCTTGCCTTGAGTTCTCTGGCCTGCAGATCCAGGAGGAGAACTCAGATCCCAATTCCCCCAAGGCCCTGCCCTGCGGGACACACCAGGATGGGGTTTTCTTTCTTATTTGGACCCCGCACAGCACATAGCTTAGGATGTGTGCGCACAATACATGTCGAATAAGAGAATCATTTAGAAGAGTCATTCATTCCCGGGTCACTCAGCCAATCAGGAGATGCTGACGTGCCTCAAGCCCTGAGCAGGACACTGGTCACAGCAACTATGCGTTGTGGTCCTTGCGATGAGCAGATCCCATGGCCGTGTTGACTTCCTGTGCCTGGTACGTGGGAAGTATTCCAAAAATGCTAAGTGAAAGTGGGGATGAATACATGAGAGTAGTTTGCCGGATTACACCTAAGAGATTATCTTTCCGGCCACCTACTTTCTCTCCCGCGTTATGACACTGGTCCATCAGCAAATATTTGTAGGACACGTG